GAATTGCATTTGCATACATGTGATTTTTGTGCCTAACAATGTATTATTACATGTAAACAACAATATCTTCGTACTCCATATAAAGAAATAAAAATTTGGATTTGAATTAATTTTAATAATTTTTTTTTTATAATTTTGAGCCTCATATTGTTAATATTGCTGCATTTATTCCTTTTCTGCAGTCTGTATGAAATGTAAAACGAGTAGAGTGAAAAATTCTGCAAGGTATATTTTTTCTATTACCAGCTGAGTGTACAGGGAAGTGCGCTTCCGCCCTGTCTCAACTCTTATGTGACCGATATGACTGAGCTATGTTGTATCTGTTTTAAGAGTTTCTTTTCATAATTAAGATATGTATTTGCATCTCTGCTTCAATGTAGTGTGTTCAGAAAAACCACAGTACTAATGAAGGTGGTTTTGTTAGAGATCCCTTCAAGAAACTCAGGCGAGATATTTAATGATGGTAATGGTATATGTTGAGCATTGTTTTTTCGTGTATTAACTCGGGTTTTAAAACCCACTGATAACATGTGATTTATTTTTTGTTTAATACTATATACAGGTATGTACTGTAACAAATAAGTGAAAGAAATATATGTTTTTAATCTTAATTTTTTTTACGTTCCTCAGATCGTAGCACTATTCATGAGGTGCGGAAACTGCGAGTTAATCTTAATGATTTTGAACAAAAGAAAGTAATTGGTAAAGGTCACTTTGGTGTTGTACAGTTAGTTAGGGAGAAAGCAACAGGCAATGTCTTTGCACTGAAGAGCCTCAGGAAGTCTGATATTTTATCACAAAAACATGTAAGTAGCATAAACATTTTTCATTTTGTTTTTACTGTTAACCATTAAGAGGAATTTGCCAGTAGTTATGTTCGGTTGTGCTACAGTAATGTTTTGTACATCATACTCTAGATATAATCCAATCAGATTTTTTAGTGTCACTTCCATGAGGAGAGTTAAACAGCTGTAACAAATGCAATATAATTAACTGGAAATGGGGAAACATTGACTTTAATATAGTACAGCCTCTCCTCACGTAGCTACGTACTCGTTTACCGACGACTCAGACTTACGATGGGCTCTCTGACCTATATTCATATCTAAATCATGTATATTAGAGCTGATTTCCTCTATTCTGTTTATTACAAAATACAGTACACTACTGTATAAAGATGTTAAAATATACATGTACTAAAAATAATGTAAATGGTGCATGGGTGGCATTAAAGCAGTATCAAAGATGGTTGACATAAACCCACTACCATTAGAGTATGCTCCTTGTTTAGCGATGAATTTGTTTACCAACACAATATTAGGAACGGAACTCTGTCATTAAGTGTGGAGAAGCTGAAATATATTGTAAAGTAATAAGATTACTATGAATTGTCAAATAGATGACATAAATATGGTAACTGGTGTGTTGAAGTGTATGGAATTAAAGTTTATCCTTCCAAATTGAGCCACCAATTTTTTAAACTTCTTTCTTATTCTCCCAATAGCACTGTCATCCACAAACAGCAACTGTGATAATTCTCACTAATCAGATTCCTTAACTTTCATAATATCTTTCGAGATATAGTGTGCAATATTTCTCGTATTTTGTTTTCAGGTTGCATTTTATGAGGAGGAAAGAGATATTATGGCCAAGGCATCCTCACCATGGATCACACAGTTACAATATGCCTTCCAGGTAAACTACTAAAAGGTTTTTTTTTTTTTCACGTAGATGGCCTTCACATCCTATAGGATATTTTCATTATATGTATATTTTGACAGACAAATAACCCGCACCTAGAAGAAAGAAATTTATGATGTTTTGATCTGACTTGTATCATTGACTAGCTACACTAGTTAGTGGTACAAGTTACATGATGACCCACAGCTCCATCTGCATGCCATCATATAACTAAGACCTTGCATTAGGTAACACTTGTCCTCTTTCCTGTAAAACTTTTACCTGCCTAGGCATCTTAATGTTTTCATTAGAATGTGGTCAGGTGGCCGAGACTCTAAACTAATGTGTATCTTTCTGTGTTCATAGGATGACCAACAGTTGTACTTAGTGATGGAGTTTCACCCAGGGGGTGACTTGTTGTCCCTGCTGGATCGTTGCGAGGGTTTGTTCTCTGAGGAAATGTCCCGCTTTTACCTTGCAGAAATAATTTTAGCAGTTCATGATTTACACTCCATGGGCTATGTTCATAGGTAAGAAAAGATGCATGATGTTACACTAAGCTGTGAAAAAAGACTCTTATGTACAATTCAGGACATTTATTAGAGGAGATGTTTTGCCACATAAACTTGTGTACAGTTCAAGACAGGAACTCAGTGAATGATAGTGAATAGATTTCTTTTTAGGGTCATCCTACTTTGGTGGGAAAAGGCTAATCAGGTAAAAAGTTTAATTTTAGTGATGTGGAAAAAGACACGTGTCGTTTTCCACATCACTAGGTCTATTCACTATTGTTCACTCAGTTGCTCTTTCCAGAAGTTCACTGACGTCACAATTAATACGACCTTCTGAACTTCAACATTGCCAACCCTACTTCAGAATGCAGGCACTGTGCTACTTCTCGGATAGGAATACAATAGCTCACCTATTGTATTCCTATCTGGCTAACTAGTTTTCCTGAATTCCTTCATAAATGTTGCCTTGCTCACACTCCAACAGCATTCACTCATATATAACATGCTCGCACAATCCTTTTAGATGCCCAGTCCTCTAGCACGCAAAGTTTCCTTTACGCCCTTCCTCCAACCTTTCCTAGGATGACCCCTACCCCTCCTTCCCAACATCCCAGTTATATATGTTGTAGTCATCCTATTTTTGCAATCTTTGTCTAATAACCTGAACAGTGCCTCCTCATCCCTCTGAATAATACTTTTGCTAACTCCACACTTCCTCCTAATCTCCAGTTTTCAAATTCTGTGTTTAATATTCTCACTACACATTGCCCTCAAACACGACATCTCTTCTGCCTCCAGCCTCCTTGCTGCAACATTCAAAACACATGCTTCACACCCATATAACTTATCAAATTTGTGATAGCAGTTTTGAAAGTACAGTAGTTCAGAAGTTACTCGTGCAGGGAGTTGTTTAAATAAACCTATGCAGTTTGGTGACCATATAATGCTTGCATCACACCAAAAAATTACAAATAAGATTACATGAGTTGAAAGAAGCAGGAAACTGAGGTAGGATCATAATTTAACTTCAACAAATATCAAGTCAGACACAAAACTGTTTAATGGATTAGCAATCTTTCAGCCAAGAGAGGTAAACAGCTTGAAACAAAGATTACCATTAACTAAATAACAGTTGGCATAAAAACTAATAAGCATATTTTGTATACAGTAATTTTATTTAATTAATCTGGCATCACCGAGCTATCTTACTCTGAGGAAACTTTTCTTCAGTCCACCTGTTGCTGCTTTTGCAACATTGCATAGCTCCTGATGACACACACATGTGTAAAAGATCTTGAGCTGAAGATTTCCATCCCCCGTGGCTTGTATTGCACTGGAACATTTATTGATTTTTTTTTCTTATAAAATTTTGCTTTTAGACATTTAGTTTAGTACTGCACTATAAAAGAAACCATTCCTAAGGTATTTAGGTATCCCTGAAGAGAAGTTGCAGAGATTGGTGGATGAATTTGGTAGGGTGTGCAAAGAAGAAAATTGAAAGTGAATACAGGAAAGAGTAAGGTTATGAGGATAACAAAAAGATTAGGTGATGAAAGATTGGATATCAGATTGGAGGGAGAGAGTATGGAGGAGGTGAATGTATTCAGATATTTGGGAGTGGACGTGTCAGCGGATGGGTCTATGAAAGATGAGGTGAATCATAGAATTTGAGGGGGGAAAAAAAGGGTGAGTGGTGCACTTGGGAGTCTGGGAGAAAAAGAACTTTTTCTTGGGGGCAAGAGGGGAATGTATGAGAGTATAATTTTACCAAGTTTTATTGGGTGTGAAGCAGGGTGGAATGTTGCAGCGAGGAAAAGGGCTGGAGGCAGTGGGATGTATGTCTGAGAGAAATGTGTGGTGTAAATATAATGCAGGAATTCGTGTTTGGAATTAAAGGGAGGTGGGGGTTTCCCAAAATTTGTCCAGGGGGCTGGGGAAAGGGTTTTTGAGGGGGTTCGGACATGTGGAGGAATGGAGGAAACGAAAAAACTTCAAGGTGTACAGTCTGTGGGGAAAGGGAAGGGGGGGGTAGGGGCGCCTGGGAAAGGTTGGAGGGGGGGGAAAAGGATTTTTGTGTGGGGGGGTTTGGACTTCCAGCAGGCATGCGTGGCGTTTTTGATGGAGTGAATGGAGACAAATGGTTTTAATACTTGATGTCTGTTGGAGTGTGAGCAAGAAAACATTTTGAAGGGGTTCGGGAAAAACCCGGGAGGCCGGGACTTGAGCCCTGGGAGGGGAAGTCAGTGCCTGCACTCTAAAGGAGGGGTTTTAAATTTTGCAGTTTAAAAACTGAGTGTAAGCACCCTTCTGGCAAGACAGGATGGAGTGAATGAGGTAAAATTTTTTTTCTTTTTGGGGGCCCCCCCCTTTGGGGGGGAATGGGGCCAGTGTGTAATAAAAAAAAAAAAAAAAATGGGGGAAACGGGTTATTTTTAATACCGGACCGAGCCCTGGAATGGGAAGTAAATGCCCATCAAAAGGGGGGGTTTTGGGATATTAGCGTTTGGGGGGGATTGTTGTGTATCTTTATACGTATATGCTTCAAAGTGTTGTATTCTGGCACCTCTAAAAAAAACAGTGATTATGTGTGGGTTTGGTAAAATTTTGAATGAGGGAAAAAGTATTTTCTTTTTGGGGGATTTTTTTTTTTTTTTTGGGGCACCCCCCTCGGTGGGAGGGAGGGCCAAAATTATAAAAAAAAAAAAATTCCAAAAGGGAAATGGAAATTAACCAGCCTTATGTTTTTTATTTGTTAAAATTCTCTTAGTTTTTAAATTTTAATTCTCTAGGGACATAAACCCTGACAACATTCTTTTGACCCTGTGGAACATCAGCTGGAGACTTTTTTTCAGCTGCAAAGCTTTCCCAGGGGTGTTTTTCGCGCAAAATCCCAGTGGGAACCCGACTTATTGCCCCAAAATTCCCGTCGGTAAATAAAAGGGCTAAAAATACTCAAGGGGGTAAAAAAATTTTTAATGTATACAGAAATGTTTAGGGGGTTTACACTGAAAAGTCTGCAGGAAGTTTACTTAACTTGCAAAGCAAATTCTGAAACAAAGTCATTGTGCTGCTATATTTTTTTTGCATGATCTTTTTCACCCCATGATAAAGATTTCCAATGCAGCAGCAAACTGTTTTCAAAAATTCCGTTGTGGAGTAAATAAAAAACGTATGATCTTTGTCACCCTGGGCCCCGGTGGGGGACGGCCGACTTGTTTTTTCTTTTTTTTACAAAACCCTTTCAATTTTTATTTTAAATTTCTGTTATTGAAAGCATTTTTTTTTGTTTTTTATGCCGGAAAAAATGTGAAAAGATAAAGTGTGTGTTACTGTGTAAAACTTTATAAAAAGGTTTTTTTTTTGTTGTGTGTATGTGGTCACTGGGTTTAAAGGCATTTGAATGGCTAGGACGAATGCCATTTTAAAGGGGCAAACTTGGCTCTCCTACGCAAATCATGAAAACCTAAAATAAGTTTTGGTTTGAAAGCTGGTATTTTCTACTGTACATTAATTATTGTTGTTGATCTTATTTTTTTTTGTTGCATATAGTGCTGTAATTTTTTTATTTTTTTTTTGTATCTTGGGAGACAGCCAGCGGTTAAAAAAAAAAATTTTTTTTTACTTTTAATGTTTTATTGAGTACCATTATATTTTTAACGGCAGTTTTTAAAACCCCCAGCAGGGCCCCCGGAAAGAAAGTCCTTTTTCATTATTTGATCCATGACTGTCTTTTGCATGTGGTGCGTTTGACCCATGAAATGCAACATTGAACCCTTCTGGGAAAAAACAAATAAAAGCAAGTGATGGTGAAGGTGTTTTTCTTTTGGGGTTTTCCGTTCACCTTTTTGTAAAAAACCCTTTAATAAAAAAAATAGAAATGGTTAAAATAAAAAAAATACAACATTGGGTTAAAACTAAAATATGAAGTCTTGATCAGCATTGAGTTGAAAGTTAAGAGCAGGGAGATAAACTCAAGGTGCTAAAAGGTAATTAAAAAAGCAGTAAAACTGGGGTTTAATTCCCCGCACTTTTTCATAGAGGCGTCAGGGGGGTTTTAGGGTGACACTAAAAATTTTTTTTACTAAAAGTAAAAAGAAAAGCTTGTTTCTTCTTTTTTGGGTCACCCTGCTCTTGGGAGAACTAATGTGTTAAAAAAAAAAATTAAGATTTTTTTTTAACTTTTCTTTCAACAAACCTGGCCCTTCCACCCGGGGAGGGCGACCCCAAAAAAAAAAACAAAAGTCTCTCTTTTTAAATTTAGTAAAATTTTACAGGGGAAAAGGTTACTAGCCCTTTTCTCCTGACATTTTTTGCCTCTTAAACACCATGGGTTACGGAGGAAGAATTTGTTTTCCCCTTCCCCATGGAGATAAGAGGAAATAAACAAGAACAAAAACAGTAAGAAAATAGAAGAAAACCCAGAGGGGTGTGTATCATATGCTTTTAATGTATTGTGGTGTGACCAAAAGTAAGTAGAAGTAGCAAATTTTTCCTGAACCTTGCATGTTCATGAGACAGAAAAATGGGCACCGCAATCCTCCCCGGAAAAAAAATTGGGAGGCCGTTTTCCCCGCATGGAGGAGGGAGTACCTCCGGGAGGGGCTGTCTCAACCCCTACCTAAATTCTTTAAAAGTGAAAAATGGTGAGAAGGTGTTTTAAGGGGGAAGATTGAGAAAGGGGGGGAAAAAGAGAGGGGGAGGGGGAAAAGGGAAATGATAGAAGGGGGAGAGAAATTGTTTTTTATATAAATTTTTGAAAAAGATTTGGGGAAAATAATTTATTAGATAATAGCTTTGCCATTATTGAAAATTTCTCTGCTATGGAGACTTCATTTGATAGTGATATCGAGAGCCCGTAGTGGCCATTTAAAGATTTTTCATGGCTTATGGGGATGCCAACCCCGCCCAACCCTTCCCCTCTCCTCCAGCCAAATTCTTTTCCATATTTCTGGAATGATCTCAGAATTGTAATTTTGCTTTTTTTTATCACCGCTTTTTTGAAAACTAAAATTTTACTTTTCCGAAAATCTGCATTTT